GAAAAAGTGTGCTTAAACATGCACAAGATTTCAACTCAAGAAAGTGATTTAGTTTTTCTGATCTGCTTGTCTTTGTACTTCAGACTCAGCAGACAGGTGCAAACATGTTTGGATATAAATCTAATCCACTGATCAACATTTAAAGACAGGGTTTTATTGTTCAGTATCACCCCAGCCTTTGAACTCTTTCATTTGAATTTCTTGTTCTTTTTATTTTGCCAGGGGTTCAAAGCACATAAATCTTTCTGTGGAGAAAGGGAGATTTTTTTAAAAGTTTAAACTACTTGCCATAAAGCCAGTTAGTCATATTGATTTCTGATGAAACCGATTGTTTCTATTTTTGGTAATTCTGAGTTTAAACCTTACAAACTTAAATTCTTATGCTTTGCTTTCCTGTTGCTTGTGTTAGATCTGGCCAATGCACTCCTGGAAAGCTGAATTAATCATCTTAACATTTTGTTTCTTTTATTTTTACAGTTATTATACTGCTATTATACTACAGATCAAAAGAAAACCTTTGGTCTAGCTTTGTAAGTTTTACCCGAGATCATGAATCTATTTTCCCAATAAACTCTGTAACCTCTTCTAAGGTCAGAATCAATTGTATTTTAATCTGTCAATGATTTGGAATTTGTGAAATGTTTTATTCATTTTTGTGCATTTTTACTTTTGGGGGGACAGGACAGTACAGTAGACAAGAAAGGGGGAGAGAAAGTAGGGGGAATGACACACAGGAAATAGCCTGGGGCAGACTTGAACCTGGGCCTCAGCAGGTGAGCCTTATGCCCTCTGGCATGTGGTTCACCTGTTCAACCAGTAAGCTACACTTTTTAATTTAACAATAACTAACAATAACTTAAGCAATAGCTGATAATGCTCGAAATATAATTAATATTAGTACATGTTTTGGAATTCAAAGCCCTGTATCTCTGATTTAGTCCAACACAGCAAAAGAGGATACCAGAATATACCAAACACATCCCTGGTGTCTGTAAACTAGAACAAGCAAAGAGCATTGTCTTGTCTTGTCAGCTGAGTATAATGACTCTGGCAGTTGCAACTTGATTCTGAATTTTAATAGCTCATAGAATTATTGATAGAATGAGGCTTAGTATACCACATTTTCCCAACCTAATTATTTCATCAGTTCCTTAACTCAGAACCAAGAAGTTGACATTTTTCTTTTTGAGTGAAATACTATGGCACACACTAAATTGTAACATATGCCTTTAGTAGTCTACCTATAATTGCATCTGTGGTCTCATGTGTTAGAGCATGGTTAATAGTTGATCCCCAGCCCCTCCACATGCCAAACTGTTGTTGGGCAAGATGTCAAGGTGGGGGCTAAATCTATCTTGAGTGCTGCTGTGTGTCCAATGGTGATGCAAGTCATAGTTTGTTACTGACAGAATATATCTGAGGTTACGTTTACAAATATGGATTAGCTTTACCTCTCTGTCTTGGAGCTACATATACAGTTGATGTTCTTTGAACAGCAGTTACCGCTGGAAGAATAAAGCAGTTAATCTGCTCCTCCTAGTGCTTGTAAAGACTGCAGTTGAAGTCATAACTCTCTGAGACTTCAGTCAGTTTCCAAACACCTTGTTGTGTTGCATGTGCCGTACATATATTTTCAGTATATACCTAAAAAAAAAATACTAAAGGATTGAACTTCACCGTGTAAATCGTAATAGTATTATTCATATCAGATAGTATTTAAGAAAATTGCTCACAAAACATTTTGTATCTTGGACATCAATACAAGCAGGCTTGATTGCATCTAAGCACAGTTTCTACAAATGCTGAGCTACTGTCTATTTGTAACTTCCAAATTCTCACCTTACTCTGCTGATCATTTATAAGTGTTACAATATTTGGCATTTTTTTCCCCATTATTTTGTTTTTCTTTTAGGAGGCGTGATGCAAAAGTGATTTTAAATGGAGGGTGACGCCTCCTTTATATCTTCTGCTTGCCTCATGAAACTAAGTGGTGATGGGATGGTGATAAGTGGTGATATAGTTCCAGATTTTAAAATACATTAGGCTCGGCCATAGGTATAGCTCTGGTATATAGTTCTTACTCTACATTTGAAAAACAAATCCCTAGTATATCTTTTATTGTCTCACAAGTGGCAGTAGTAGCATTAAGGAGGGTGGATTACCTTGAAGAGTGCACAGTAAATTAACCCCCCACCAATATGCTGTCTGATCTTTGTGGAAGTCACAATTACAAAAGCAGTGTGATTACTCATTTAACATACAAAGCACTGTACTCCTCATGTCTTCACTGAACACATTGAGCTATTACTAACAGTACAGGCCTGAAAGGGGAAAATTAACTTTAGTCGGTGGTAGAACCTCCTTTAGCAGCAACAACCTCAATCAGACACTTCCTGTAGATATTTCCACAACAATGAGGAGGATCTTGGGGCCATTCCCATTACGGCCTGTCTTAGCTGAACAACCTTCATGTGCAGAAGATGTCAGTCAGTTAAAATCAGGGTACTGACTTTAGGTTAATGTCTAGTTGCATCATTTTGTTCTCACAATGCTCCATCCACCATGGTTCACAGTTGGGATGATATTTTGGTGATGGTGTGCGTCTCCTTTTTTTTTCTTCTCCATACATGATGTTATACATTTTTGTCTCAGAGTATCAGCCTAGAGGTGTTTGGAAAAAAATGGAAAGCAGTGATTTGACAAACACTAGTTACTTTTGTGACTTTTTCTTATTTAAAACAATTTATTTATTTATTTTGTTATAGGAGTTGGTGATATAGTCTTCTGATCTCATTTACCTAATTGAAACACCCAACTCTAAATAGCTTCTGGAGAAATTGTTTACAGAGCGGTTCATATTCCAGCCTGACCATCTTATGACTCCATATGTTCAAAGACATGACAAGTAAAAGTGTGTTTCTTTAGTTTAGTCTTGTTAATGCTTGTTAACCCTTCAAGCTCTTTTCTGAACAGTTTCCATCATATTACGGGCCTCTTTATAGAACAAAATGAGCAAAAATATTTTTATTGGTCATATACCCAGATTATTGGAAAAACAATTGTAAAAATGTTACTTACTAATTTATTTGAGCTTACCTTTCTGGGAATGTAAAGTCTAACTAGAGCTATAAGGATAATATAATGAGAGTACTTATACTGGGAGACATTATAGTGCGAATGACTTACTCTTTTCTCTTTCTGCTGTATTTCTCTCTGCATCATAATGATGGAATTTCTTGCATTAGCAACTTGTTTCTTACCACATATAAGGATATCTCTCTCACTCTATCTCTCTCACTCTTTGTCTTTAACACCCCTCCTCTTCTCTGTGTAGTTCTTGGCAGGGCTACAGTCTATTAAACACACAGACAGTGGGTGCTCCCCCGTGGGCTCATTAGTGAGCTGGCCCGCACGGCCTGGGGAATGCTGGAACAGACCATTCTACTGGTTCCCGGAGGGGTGCCAGAGGATTCATTATGTCGTTGTTCAACATAGTCTCTTGGTGGTGAATAGTGCAATGTGATGTTCTATATTGGATTAATAGGTCATCTATTTAAGATATTAGTCTTGATTTTGTTTCCATATACTTGTTGTATGTTGTATGTGATGTATGACATGAAATAACCAAAGCTTGCAGCCTGATCACAGATGCTTTCTTCAATGTCACAGGTAAATGTGTCCACGAGAGAACAAACTTTTTAACACCTAAAATTACATTTTGCCATTTTGTGATGAACAGAAGCCAAATGATTTATCCTTTTTTTCAAGAGAGGATTAATACAAAATGTTGTTATTGTATTTTGGGACCAATTTTTGACACAGTCAGAGCACATTATGTAAAAACTTGCTTCAACTTAGGTCTAATGTGAACATCATTTCAAACTGACATGATATGAGTTCAGTTGTTTTTGAGGGAAAAAATATTTTTTGTATCCAGTATCACTGTTATTGTTTCGACTTTGTCTTAAGTATCGCATTATTTATACTTACTTTATAAACAAAAGTGTTGACTTTGTGAACTGTACAACAGCTTTTAAGTATAAACTGATGTGTTTTTCAGAATTAACATAATACATTTCCAGAGTGAAATAAATGTTTCAGCTGTTCATATGAGCCTTTACCACAAAATATTATTAGCTGTTTTTGTATGAATAGGCTCTATCGTATCCCATATCTAGGGAGATTGCGTGTAAATGATGTAACACAGTGAAACACAATAATAACTTGACAGAGGCAATCACTTCTGTTCTACTTCCTGGCTTTCTCCACAATGACATTCCTGGAAAACTAATTTCCTCAGCGACAGACATTTCATTAGCCCATTGTCTGAACACTGACAACTATTCTCTACTGAAGCAAAGGTGTGTGGGCACATACAGTATACACATCGAATATGCACACAAACACGTTAATACACAAGTTCACTCATACATACGCACAACTTCGGTCTCCGTTTTGTACTGAGATGTCACTGAGAGCTAATCTAATTGTCAGTTTGTGATTTTATTACTTTTTTTGTACATTGTGGCCACATTTTTCAGTAATCGGGTTTTGGGTGTTGAATTTAACAATCAACCAGAAAATGCTGAACCCTTATCATTATAATGTACTCTGCTATTAAGATGCACACCAGTATGAAAGCTTAGCTTTACACATGTGTGACCTTCACCAGTTGATTGTGCTGGCACACAAATTGCTTCTAGCACAGGCAGTAGTAAAACAACAACTTTTTCTTTCTGTATTGTCTCTGTTTATATTTCTAAGTGTTTCTGCTTGGTATTCTTTGTCTTTGCTGAAGGACAACTGTTGAGGTTTTTGTCACTAGCCTGTTATTATAAGTGTAGTTGGTAGTGTAGTCAGTGCCACTTTAATTTGATCATTTTACTATATGCTACATACTTAAATTATACATTACCTCGTCTAGTCCCAGTGCAGTTAGCTGATCTCTATGTCAGAGTTGATATACATGATTTAGAAATACATTTATGTTTGTCTTTCAGGATGACACTACAGTTCATCATATGGCAGCAAAAGCAATAGAGAACATATCAACAGTGCTGTCTGGTCCCTCCCATCACCTGGTCACCACAGAGATAGGCGCCGCCCTGTGGTACCTGTTCACTCACTCCACTGTGGAGGCTGTCAGAGTCACTGCTATTTCTGTAAGCTCACATATATAAAGATATATCATAGATGTACAGCTAACTTTGTAAGAGCTATAAAGATATAGTAAAAAAAAAAGTGATTAATACTAGTTGACTTTGAATAATTCAAGCTGATTTCACAAACTTATTTGCATCAGCTGTATATATTACACAAAGTTAAAGCAGCCAAATGTGCTTGACTGACTGAATTTCTTGTATTGCTGTTATAGTCTGCTAAAAAATAATTAATTCTGATGCGATTCTCCTAGTGAACCACAAGTAATGAATATCAACTACTTTATTATGATGCGTCACAAACCACATACTTTCTGAAACTATACCAACTTTCTCTACCCACTTTATTATGATGGACTGTGTATTAATTCAGGCCATGTTAAGCATTAGATATCCCACATCACCCACTGTCAGGCTTTGAACCATATTAATGTTTTTCTTAATGACACAGTCATTTGTTATTCCATAATAT